CTCACACACACACTCACATACACACACATACACACACATACACACACTCACACACACACACTCACATACTCACACACACACACACACACACACACACACACACACACACACACACACTGTTAGTATTTTGGAACACAACCTGCTTCTGGGTTACCCAGCAACTTATGATGTCATCACGTATCGCCGGCCAGGTGGCCACACCTGGAAAGCGCGGTTACCTTGCCCCTTAAAGGGATGACCCCGGCATGTGGTCTCTCTCTTACTCTCTTACTCTCTCGCTCTCTCTCTCTCTCGGGGTGCCCCATTCCCCTTTCTTTCTCTCTCCCCACCATGTCCTGTTCTCCCACTCCCTCCATACCCACTTAATAAACCTCTGGCATAGAAAATCGGTTGACCAGCCTCATGTTTCTTTTAATAACACACACACATACACACATGCACGCATGCACACACAAAAATTAAAATGTAATAAAAATGTAAAGAAGGGGCTGGAGAGATGGCGCAGTGGTTAAAAGCACTGTCTGCTCTTCCAAAGGACCCGGGTTCAATTCCCAGAACCCACATGGCCGCTCACAACTGTCTATACCACCAGTTCCAAGGGATCTGACACCTTCCCACTAATGCACATAAAATAAAATTAAATAAATTATTTTTAAAAATGTAAAGAAACGGGGAAGTGGTAATATTAAACCCACCAAATACCACCTAGCCACGTTCTGAAGGTTCACACCACCACCATAAGCTGTGCCACTGCCACAAGTCAGGTGAGGGGATGGACTGCGCCTCCGGTTAGTGGGAAGACTGCCAAACAAGCTCAGACAGAACTGTCACGCCCTGATACTTGTCCACATGAGGACACAGAAGCCAGTCACCACTGAACCAGGAAGCTAACCCTCACAAGAGGCCAAAGCTTTCGATGACTCCAGAAGAGTGAACTTTCCACTGCCGGCAAGCCTCCCCAGGAGGTTTGGTCACAGGCCGAGACTCCTCAGTAAGGACCCACCCGGCACTCTCAGGAGCTGGGAGCGCCTGCACAGGATTGGGCCATCAGCATTCTGTCACAGAAAGAGGAGTCTAACCGTGAGAAGCTCTCCTGAACACGCCTGGAGGCTAACCTAACCTAAGTCTCCCCTCAAAGGAGAGGGGAGAGCTGCCGGCAGCTTGTCTCCAGCATGATTCTGTGCCCTGTCAAGGTGACAATCGATGCTAACCAACACATACAGGAGCAGTGACCCTCTTATGGAAAGACCCCAGGAAACTCCCCTGTGTGAGGACAGGGCAAGAAGACACCACCTATTTGCTGGTGTCGTGACCTTGGCCTTCCCTACATCCAGAACTATTAGAAACAAGTGTTGCTTGCAGACTGAGTCCATGGAACTCTGGATGTAGCCCAAAGCTCCAAGACAGTGTCTGTCCTTTAGCTGCCTGTTGTTTTGGTTTTGGTTTCCTCTATCCTATGTGTATGTATATTTTCCATGCATGTGTGTCTGTGTGCCGTGTGAGTGCCATGTGTGCCGTGGCATGCAGAGGCCAGAGAAGGCATTGAATCCCTATGAACTGGAGTTATAGATGGTTGTGAATCACTATATGGATACTAGGGACCGGAATCCAGGTCACTGGAAGAGCAGAACAGTTTCCACAGCCTCTGTGATGATTCATTTTTATTTTTCAATTTGATACAACCTAGAGTTGCCAGGGAAGAGGGAACCTCAACTGAGAAATTGCTCAGGTCAGATTGAGTTGTGTGCATGTGTGTGTGTGTCTGCGCATGCACCTGTGTTGTGTGTGTGTGTGTGTGTGTGTGTGTGTGTGTGTGTGTGTCTGTCTGTGGAGGGACAGACGGAGGGAGAAGGAAAGAGGGAGGGGGAGGGGAAGGAGGAGAAGGAGGAGAGGTAAGAGAGCCTCCTTCCGTGGTCCCTGCCTGGATCCCTGCCTGGCTTTCCCTCGGTGATGGACTGTGCTGTAACCCAGAACTGTGGGCTGTAGACCCTTTCTCTCCTAAGCTGTTTTAGGTCAGACTGACAGAAATCAAACGAGGACAGTGTCTGACCCTCCTGAAGGACAGCTTAGAAGAAGCCGCCTCATCTTTCCTTCCAAGTTGCATGTGACAGTGCTGTTGATCAGTCCCCTCGAGTGGCATGTCTTTGTGATGAGCTAACAGCTGGCAGACTCTACCTTTCCAACGTCATTGGTCCCAAAGCGTGAAAAACGACACCTAACTTGGGAGGACAAACGTCTGGCAGAGGAATCCAGGAAGCTGGCGATTCCAGTGGCTGACAGCATGTTTGGGCTGCATGGACGCTCAGGCTGTGGACCTCGCAGCATGAGGACCTGGTTCTACCCCACCAGAGCCCACTAGAAAAGCTGGCACTGTGACGGTGTAACCCGGTGCTGAGGAGGTGGAGACAGGCGGGTCCCTGGGACTCAGTGGCCAATCAGCCTAGCTTAATGGGTAAGTTACAGGTTCAGTGAAAGACGCTACCTCATAAAACAAGGTAAATTGTTGTCCTCTGTCTTCCACTCATATATACACACAGGCACACACCACACGCTTGTACCTGAACACACAAACACATACATACAAACAAAGCTTCACAGTCTACACTCTGGTCTATACCAAGATGAATTCCATCTCACCTAGTGGAACAAACCAGGAACACAATCTGAGTTCCAGATGTGACCACATCAGAGGAGACAGCGCCCCCCCTGAGGTGAGCAGGAGTGTTTGACCTCACACTGCAGCAGAGCAGACCCTGGGTTATGGAGCAGCATCTTCACACTGCAGTCAGGAACCAGGCGTGTGTGTGTGTGTGTGTGTGTGTGTGTGTGTGTGTGTGTGTGGTGGGGGGGCTCTCAACCCACTGAGTTCCTGCCTCCTCAGTCTCCCTCTCAGCCTCACAAAGACTACCCGCCCCCTCCAATTCTTTCAGCAGACCAGAAGGTGGGGAAAACTGCAGATCTTATTTTAAGACTCAAAGGCAATTAGGGAAGTGCTGATAAAACTTGAGCTAGGTGAGGATTCCAGCGCTGACGCGTGGCATCTGTTGTTGCGTGCTAGGTTAGGAACCTTGTCAGCAAGGCCAGGTCCTCCAGTTAGCTTTCCTCCTAGAGGATCGGAGGCCCTGTGTCACCTCAACAGTATGTGGGCTGACAAATGAAAGTCCCCATGAGACTGGTTGCTCTACTTTCCACAGCAGCTCAGGAGACACAGGCCCAACCAAAGCTGCTGGGGAGCTGACCCCTCAGCCTCCACTTGTCACTTTAGTTCTGCTGCAGCCAGACTGGCCTTCTCCTGGTTCCTAAGCTCTGGATAGCGTGTTCCTTCCCCAGGCCTTTGCATAGGCTCATCCCTCTGCCTGTAAGCTCGGTGTGTCTGCATAACCCACATCCACTCTTCTCTCCTTTCTCTCTGAAAATACCACCTCCCCAATAAGGAGCTATTGCAACCTGAATGCAATCCTTTTCATCTTCAGATGGTGTTGCTGTTTTTGTTTGGTTGGGTTTTTTTGTTGATGGTGGTGGTGATGGTGGTGGTTGGTTGGCTGGCTGGTTGGTTGGTTGGTTGGTTTTGGCTAATCGAGACAGGGTTTCTCTGTGTAGCCTTGGCTGTCCTGGAACTTACTCTGTAGATCAGGCTGTCCTTGAACTCACTGAGATGTGC